GCTCAAATGGACAAATGATTGGTTTTGCTGATGCAGGGTATCTATCTGATCCTCATAAGGTCCGGTCACAGACTGGATACACTTTCACAGTCGGAGCAATTGCTATATCATGGCGCTCTCAGAAACAAACACTTGTGACCACTTCCTCAAACCATGCTGAAATCATTACTCTCCACGAGGAAAATAGAGAAAGTGTCTGACTTAGATCAATGAGCCAACATATCAAATCAAGTAGTGGATTTTGTGTTAATACAGAACTGACTATCTTATATGAAGACAATGCTGCATATGTAGCTCAGTGAAAGGAAGAATATATCAAAAGTGATAAAACTAAACATATTCCATTAAAGTTATTCTCATATATTTATCCAAGAGTTTGAGAAAAATAAAGAAATTAAAGTGAAATATATTCGATCATTTGATAATGCTGCAGACCTCTTCACAACGTCATTACCTACTTCGATGTTTCGACAACATGTCTACAACAGTGGGATGCATCATCAACGAGATTTATTAATTTCCTCTAGTCACTCGAGTGGGAGCTTGTGAGGTTGTACTTTTTGTACCTTTACTATCATTTTTTCACTGATTTTTTCCTTGAAAGATTTTTAATGAGACAATTGAAGATAAATCGCAAGAGATATGAATGACAAATACACTCCAAGGGGAAGTGTTACAAAGTCAAACCTTTGCATAGATGAATAGTGATGAAGCCCATATATCATTATATCTTACAGTAGTATATGTCAATTTTTTTACTATATATAGGACATGCATTTGTTTATTGTAAATGACACACCAATATTCAATACAAAAACTCTCTCTTTTTTATTTAAGTGGTATACACATTTTTCCACTTCTTCTTACTATTACATTTCTATAAAATAAACATATTAATATTGTTTTACATATTTATTATATAATATAAATATACGATATAATTAGGATACCGATATAATTATAACATTTTATGTTTTTTTCTTATGTTATTCGTATTTAGTAAATTTTCTTACAAAAAATAACTAAACTTTAAAATTGATATCCGCATAAGTGTAGTCTATATAATTAAATTATAAATTAAGATCTCATTAAGTTATTCCCAAATTATATTTTATATTTTCAACTAAGAAATTAAAATTGATCAATATATCCATTAATCTGATAAAATATTTTTAAATAATAAGCTTCCAACAACATAATGTCTATTATATGATAGTTTCTGGTTTTTTTTTTACCTTTAAAATTTCGTTAAGTTATTCACAAATTACATTTTGTAATTTGAGATTAAGGAATTAAAAACTGATCAATATATCTATCAGTCTGATAAAAATCCTTTTATAAATGTTAAGCTTCCAAAATACAATTTCTATTATATGGTAATTTCTGTTTTTTTTCCTTTCCTTTACTTTTTTTAATAGTAATTTTTGTTTAGAAAAAATATAATTTAGTTTTTTCATTACAACACACATGTTACGATCTAAATTAACAATGACATAAGTCATGATCTTGTGATTTATAATTGTTTTATGTATTGTGCTCCAATTAAACGCGTTCAACTTTATTTAATAAAACAAATTTCAAATCGGACTGTCCTGTTTATTTGTTTACAATGAACTAAAATATAAACTTAAACTTAACTCTTATCATTTTGTTTTGTTTGATATGTATTCAATTAAAATAATATAAATTATAGTGAAAAAATTGCAAAGTTTTGAATAAATTTTATACTTTGAATATATGTATTATGTCTTATTTAAAAATATATAATAATTTTATATTTTAATAATTAAAATTAAATAATAATATCTTACTTACTGAAAAATAAAAAATTTCCATATTCTTTTTAATAGCTTTAAAAGACATTATTTTTGATTTTAATTATTCTTTATTATTTGTAATGCTATTTCATGTAATAACTTACAAATAAAGTTTATTTTTCAATATCACTATTTAAATAACTAGGTTTGTCCCTGCGTACAACAACGCCGGATAATGATTTTGGAAACATTTTTTGTGAGATTGATTTTAATAAGACAATGGATTATTATTTGTTGTTAGTCTGTAGTGTATATTTGTGGAAAAAGAGTATGAATTAGTCTACTACCGTCTACCGATACCATAGTAACCTGAGCATATTACATAGATGTACAGTTACATTTTGCTGCGTATACAGAGCGATATGTGAAAGATAGAGGCATTGGTTTTTGCATTTTTGGCATACTTTCAGAGTTTTGAGAACTCGAAAATCTGACTGTGTATTAGACTTGAATGAGATAATGCTATACAACAAGAATTCTTTCTGGTCAGCTACCTAACAAGTTCTGGATTAAAAAAAAAAAAAAGAGTTTGCCAAGTCTTCGGTTCAGTTCATGATCTTCAGTCCCACATTAAACTTGATTATGAGTTGAGGATTTTGTAGATTCCGGATACTTTCTCCCCTGTTTATTCCAACATCATATTATCAGACATCTAGAACCAAAAACAAAAAAAACATCCAAAAGGAATCAAGTGTTCATCAGCAGCCAGATGACATACCTAACACGTCAAATTCCTCCAGCCAAGCTTCTAGATTATCTTCCTTCTTCTTCATCTCAGACCGAAACTTTCGTAGGCTGGTTAAAGTTTCTACCATGCTCTGTTCCTTTGTCTCGATGTCAGACCGAAGCTGTCCTACACTGGTTATAGTGTCCATGATGCTCTGTTTCACCTCAGCCAACTGATGTGTGAAGGAGCAAGGTTGAGGGACTTTCTTGCACTGCAAGTCTCCGGATTAGTGAGCTGTATTCTCCGTCTCGCCATGATGAGCTTTATGAAAGCTACAGCTTTGGCCGACTCGAGCTCGCTTGGGTGTCCGAGTCTCACTTTCTACAGGATTTTCTTCTTCAGCTACTGTTTCACATCACGAGGACACAGCCTCATGTCCATTCCCATTTGTAGAAGTAATAGCTGCGTTTACAGATGAGTTTACAGTCAGATGAATCATGAGGAACTGAACTTAATGAATGCTCTAGGCTCAGTCTATCTCTTAGGTACACAAGTTTACTCACAGGTAGAAACTTCTACTGCATTCTGTATATCCTGCTGATTGGAAAAATAACATCACAATTAAACAATTCATTTTTTTCTTCTACAAATCATCGAATTTCAGTGTTGCAGAGAGAAAAAAAAGCATGTCTTTATTGCCACATCCCTTGTACCTTGATGATCCTGCAGAGGACACAAAAATTGGCAAAATGGTATAAGAGCAAATGTAACTTGACAGCTCGCATAACCATTGGGTTTTGGAAACAATATTCCTCCGAGACAGATTATCTAAAAACGACAAAGGCAGATTCAAAAACCTACTTCTTTTCGATGAGCAACAACTGCGTTATGCTTCAAATCACTGAATGCTCCTTCACATATTGAAGCCACCACATTACTATACTTATCTAAAGAGATGCCTGATGATTTCACTGCTTCAGCCAGATACATTTGGAGCTTGCTATCACAGTTGATTAGAACATGTTCTGCCAACCTCCGTGATACTCGGGGAATCTGCTGCCAAGTTGAAAGAGTTACCAAAAGAGCATTGGTTTCCGAAATAGAGATACTGAGAATATGCACCTTCTTGTCATCCTTTTTAACGAAGTGTAGAATTGGTGAAAGCATCTCTAAATGTTTATCATCATCGCTTTCTTCTAAAACAAGGGTCATAATCTTCTCCATACATAAAAACACTTTCACCGGATGATGGTCCCTGAAAAGAAAAATATAAATTCATCATCTGTCAAGCGTGTATGTACAAAAAACATAAGCAATACTCAATTAAACTGCTGTGAAACTATATACAACACACATAAAGCTAAGGAACACATCATGAAGTCCATGGAGTGGCATACATAGGAGTGTTGCAAAATACAACACACATAAAGCTAAGGAACATATCCATGGAGAGGCAGACATGCGATTGTGGGAAATGATATCAAACGATATCAATCACATTGCAATAACTGATTTTGACATTCATGTTCACCATGTAGTTCACAAAATGCGCAACATCCGTGAGTCGAGCATGGCAGAAGAGATATGTAGGCAAAACGATTCAGGATTGATAAGGAAGATAGACAATTCCATGTATGCAATTCAGAAAGATTAATTCTTGCAACATAAACTGTTGCTTTTAAATCATAATTTCAGCTTTCAGCAGGAACGAAATTATCAGATTGTACCTTATTGGATGCAGTGGGCAACACAAGTTTTACCCTAGACAAGCGGCAAATGCACATCAAACGCAGTAGTACTTAGGGATCGAATCTACAGGGATTTATGTGTTGACGGCTTCTAACTGATGCTAAAAACAATAGTAGACCTAATCAGATAAAAAGGGGTTTTGGTTTGTCACAAAATCTAACTAAGCAGAGAATTAAAAAGCTTAAAATAAAATCGGGCAGGGATTAATGTTCATCTTTAGAGTTCATGTTCTATGACACAAAGAATTTAGGCAAAGATTTTCTATGATTCTGAAACTAGGATAGACACTTATAAGATTAGTCAACTCTCGTCACCCTTATCATATAATCAATTATTGTTGGCAATTAACTCTCGCTCTCATGCCAGAATAAGATCATGCATTTCAGATCAAAATCCATCTCGGCTTACGTATCCTTCGTAGGTAGTTTTCGTCTCCTACGACGGTGATGTCCATAAGATCCAGTTCAGGCACCCAGATACAACACTCTTGTGGCTTGGATTTAACCTAGGATCGGACTATGGGTGATCAATCAAGAGTTACCGCTCTGAGATTTGGATGAATGGGAGAATCATTTAAAATCGAAATCCTTTAACCTAAAAACCTAAATGTCAGTCGAAGATCCCCTTTGATGGTCCCTTCACCCAACTCGATGACTACTCAGACATGGCTGAGCTTGACATCATCATCGATTTAAGAACTAGAAAGCAGTAAAGTAAAGAAACAAAAGTTGCAGAAAAACTTCTCTTATTGAAAACAGTGTATGGCGATAAAAAGCTTCTACAGATGCATAAAAGTAAAACTTAAAACTACAATGAAGTTCTCTCTCATAAAGATGAAAGAGGCTCTCTTACAAAAGACCTCAAAATAAGTATTTATAGTGTTTCTTCAAGTCTGGGCGTCTAGGACTTGTAAAATGAGTGCAGGAAGTGTCTTGGGCCTTAGTTGGGCTTCTGAGGTTTGGAACAAGCTCCACCGCGGGTGAGGGAGGCTGAGCCGCGGTGGGTAGAAGCTTTGTCGCGGGTGAGAGCTTCTGTTCTTGACTGAACTGTGTCGATTGGCCTTCAGTGTATTGATGGTATCTGGAGATCTAACCGTTGGATTGCATTGATTCTAAGTGTGTTGGAAAGCTGGTTGTCTCCTTTATAATGTCTCCAAACTTGGAGATGATCAGACGGTGAGAAGGTCTTCTTTGGTTGCCAAACTTCTCACGGCCTGAATTTATCCAAAAGTGTACTTTTGCTCCAAAATGCACTCCAAAACTCCAAGTTTCCTGAAAAGTCTTTTAAAACTCCGAAACATGGAAAAAACTTATAAAATCTTTAAAACTGAGTGAAAACACCTGCATAATATATTGAAAGTGATCCATAAAAATGGTCAAAATCAGGTGTTATCACTTATACCCTTGAGGAAATGTTGGAACATCTCAAGAAGAAGCGCATCACATTCAAGATCCAACATCACACTGCATAACTTGAGCTCAGACACAGTTTCAAGGATCAGTATCCTCGTGGTATAGGAGGGGCTATATATGTCAGATAGATGTTGAAACGATGATACAATTAACTGGAATTCTTCATGCGCTCTAATCACTGAAGACAGTCAGTGACCATTGACCAATGCTCATTTTTCCTTAAGATAAAAAAACCTTACTTTCATCTGGTCATCATCATAGGTAATATCTGGAGCAGTTATTCTCGTTATCTGGGTGATGCAAGCAGTGACTGCGACTCTCACATCAACATCCGAAAGTCTCAAGAGTTTTGGAGCAACCAATGCTTCTATCAATGGACTTAGTGCCCTCATCGTTGAGTGAGGAGGTGACTGTTCGACATTTGAGATGCTTTGTACAACTTTCTGTAGATATAGACAGCTAAATTGATCACTAAACTACACAAAAAAATGGAATCCGAAAATTCGAGTGAAATGATATCAATTTCAATCTCAGGGGCAGTTCTAAAACAAGATGATACACCTAACAACACCAGAATAAGCAATCCACATGCTAAGATTCAATTCTACATCTTCCTAAGAAGCGAGGATAAACATAAAATCTCAAGTTGAAAGTTGACATATCTAGAATTCACAAGAACATATTACTTCATGAAACCAGAGTTTGAAATTAAGCAATACAAAAGACAAATTCTTGATAAGTTCGAGAACGGAGAAAGAACGTGAGCGAGATCTGAGTTCCAGGAAATGGTGAATGAGCGAGCTCACGTTGAGAATAGAAAGAATCTGATCAACGGAAGAAGGTGGGTCAAGAAGCTTTTTCCCAGCTTCCTCAAACTCTCTATCAGAAATCGACATGACTCCCTCTCTATATCTCTCTATCTCTCTATCTCTCTCTAAAAGATCTCTGTAAACCCTAAATCGATTCCAGGAATCGGAGGAGAGCGACACCAGGTTAAGCGAAAAGGAATGAGATATTTCCAATCTTACACTTCTGCAGGGAAAAATATAGAAAATTTCTCCCGACAGTGATTCTGTTGATGTGGCATATTCCATGTGGATGAATGTGCACTTCTAAAATGCATTTACAACCGACGTTAAAAATTTAATCATTAATTTTAGACTAAAAAATATTAATTTATTTTACTGTAAATACTAGATCTCAAATCCTTGCAAAATCGCAAAAAAAAAATCAAATATTATACAGTTTTAATTGTTTTAAATATATATAACAGAGCATACATATAACAAAAGGTAATGATACTTGGATGTGAATATTCATTTTTTAACTACTTTTGTAAAAATAAATAGGTATAACTTTATATAAAGATACAACGATAAATGAAGTTGTACAAAGCAATTAACATATATTTATATTTGAATTAATAGTTTACAATTAATGTAACAATTTATAACTCAACATATACATCCATATAAAAGATAATTATACAATTGACATTGAAAAAAAGTTAAATAACAATTATAACCAACATGATCAATTTTATCGATAGAACTACATCATTGATAGATATTTTTTTACAATGAAAAGTTTTTAAAACATTATCATGATATGAAATGTTAAAATCTACAAACAAAAAGAATAAAAATTTAGTGCAAAATCTTGTAAAACAAAAAAAATTCAAATTTATCATAGTTTGTAAATTTTTTGGAAAATACTTGGATTAAAGACCATTAGAAATAGTTTTGATACATTTTAAATCAATATTATATTTCATAAACGTAAAATTATCTTGAATTTATAACACCATATAACACTAGACATATTATTCTTAATTGTGTGATATTTTAATACATTTTGGAGATTTAGAATTTGTATGCTAAATATAATTAGTATTCATGAATGAACAAATGAAAATACAAATATTGTGGTTACACCGAGATCTAAAAACATTGTGAACTTAGACAATAATTGAATCAAGTATGAAGCACTTTCCTTAAAGAGTATTTTGACCCTTATGAAGCTTTAAATTACACAAATCCCTTGTAGGATAAGACAATCAAAAATTTCATTCTTGTTATAGGCTAAGATACAAGAGATACAAATAGAGTTTTATGTGTTTGTTATTATGTTTTCATATAGTTGTTATTTGCAATTACTTGCTCTTATCTATTTTTCTCTCCAAAGATTTATCAATCTTTTATAGAATTCCAAGGGGTATAAAAGAATAGTTGCAGTTGTTTAGAATAATCATAATTTCAATAGTTACAATGTTTTAATAATCATAAATTCAAGAGTTGTAATGGTTGGTAAAATAACCATAAACTCAAGAGTTGCAATGCTTAGTAAATAACTATAAACTCAAGAGTTGCAATAGTTGGTAAAATAACTATAATCTCAAAATTTGCAATGTTTAGTAAAATAACCGTAAACTCAAGAGTTGCAATGGTTCACTAAAATAACTGTAACATTTAATTCTCCAACATTCTTCTCCCATTTAAATGTAATCATAGATTCACTAAATAAATAACACATATACTAAATTCATGCATAAATTAAAATGTTGTGACGATTAAATTTTTATCTTATTGATATATTTACCAAAATAATTACAAGTTTTTAATATTTATGATTTCATATAAGTGGAAGAATCAGAAGAAAAAGCGTATTCGTGCAGAAAATTAAGAAGCGAATGTATTGAAGTAAATAATGCATTCACAATACTGAAGAATTACAAAAATCTTGCAGACGGTATAATGTCATCTCCTAATTATTCAATTGAGTAAAGTTTTTTTTGTCGACAATCTAAATACCTAGAATAGTTCAGTAACCCAATTCGGTGATACCGAGTTTAGCTTTGATACCATATTAAATTTCAAATATGAAATAGTCATTATTTTTATATATAATATTATTTTTCGTTCTCTGTAGTTCGAACTCTCTTTTCACGGAAAGACAATTAAACCAATTTAAAGATTACAGCAGGCTTTACTATGAAACAGACCGATAGATTTTAAAACAAAATTGGCTTTAATGATCCAATTAGAAAAAAAAATATAACATATCACTTTTAAAATACATGTAAGATCAATGAACCTATTAAAATCATCAAAAAACATCACATAAATCAGAAAATAAACTAACGACATGTCAGCACAAAAATACACATAAAATTGCTGTAAAAGCGATACATTAAATTTTTGACTTCACAAATAATAGTATAGAAGATAAATAAACCGTGTTGTATTTTTAAATAGTTGTGATATTGCTTAACACGGTAATAATGTAGACTTTTCTTATCTAATTCTATCATATAAAGAAAATATCGTAAGTAAAAAAATATACAAAGACTACCATCCATATTTAGAGAATTCTTGCTTTCAACCTCATAGATTCCCACTAATAGTCGGATTTTGAAGTCCGCAATAGTTGGTTCCCACATCTTGTGAACCAATTCAATATAATATTCCCTGGCATGAAATACTGCAATCACAAGGCGGAACACATAGATCAATCCATAGATATCATGTCAAAGACAGACTTCACCAATCACCATATATGACTAGACGATAATCAAACATGGGGTTGAAATCGGAGAGACCATTTTCCAAAAATTCCGGATGATTTTGAATATTCAAAAAAGGAGGGAACTTCAGGATATTCAGTCGTGCCTGGTCAAATCGATTACAAACCTGCCACGACTGAATATGCTGAAGTTACGTGGCAAGTCAACTCGATTACAGATATTTGATATTTCAAATACAAACAAGAAGACCAAGAAAATAAAGCTGAAAAGGAAATATAAACGATAATGATATAGAGAGAAATCGTGTACATAACGTCACGCATTTAACACGAAACATGTCTGAAATCTTCAAAGATAAATTTCTTAAATACATGTACAAAAGACTCCCAAGAAAGAAAAAAAAAACACACAAAACAGTGTCTTAGACAGAGATGAGGAGTGCACCAGACTACCACCATTCTTACACGTTCGTCTTCATCTTCTTAGTCTTAATTCTGTTTCCTGCTTTCTGTATCTCTGCCAACACTTTGTCGGCTACAGAATCTCTCACTATCTCAAACAACAAAACCATTATATCTCCTAGTGAAATCTTTGAGCTAGGTTTCTTCAATCTCGCACCAACTTCTCGTTGGTATCTCGGGATTTGGTACAAGAGAATCCCTGTAAGAACGTACGTATGGATTGCGAACAGAGACGATCCTCTGTCTAGTTCCATTGGAACTTTCAAAATCTCTGACAATAATCTCGTCATTTTCGATCAATCCGATACACCTGCTTGGTCGACGAATTCAACCGGAGGGGATGTGGGATTCCCAGTGGTTGCAGAGCTTCTTGATAACGGGAATCTTGTGCTCAGAGACTCCAATAATCCAGATAGATTTTTGTGGCAGAGTTTTGATTTTCCGACAGATACTTTACTTCCGGAGATGAAATTAGGGTGGGATAAAAAAACCGGATTCAACAGATTCTTAAGATCTCGGCAAACTCCTGATGATCCGTCAAGTGGCGATTTCTCGACTAAAGTCGAAACCAGAGGATTCCCTGACGTTTACGTATATAATAGAGAGTCGATAACGTACCGGAGCGGTCCGTGGAATGGAATCCGGTTTAGCGGCACACCAGAGGTGAAACCAATTGATTACTTAGTTTTCAATTTCACAGCGAGTAATGAAGAAGTGACTTACTCATACCGAATAACAAAAACCAACGTTTACTCGAGGCTAATCCTCAGCTCCGCGGGATTATTACAACGATTCACTTGGATTGAGACAGCACAGAATTGGAAACTATTATGGTTCCCGTCAAAGGATCTATGCAATAACTACAAAGAGTGTGGGAATTATAGTTATTGCGATTCTAACACTTCACCGGTTTGTAATTGTATCAAAGGGTTTAAGCCAATGAATGAGAAAGCCTGGGCGTTGAGAGATGATTCCACTGGTTGCGTGAGGAAGACGAGGTTGAGTTGTGACGGTAGCGATGGGTTTTTGCGGTTGAAAAATATGAAATTGCCGGATACTACAGCAACAGCTGTGGACAGAGGAATTGGGGTGAAAGAATGTGAAGAGAGGTGTCTGAAAGATTGTAATTGCACGGCATTTGCTAATACGGATATCCGTAATGGCGGGTCGGGTTGTGTGATTTGGACCGGAGATATTTTGGATAGCCGAAATTATGCTAAGGGAGGTCAGGATCTTTACGTTAGACTAGCAGCTGCTGATCTCGGTTAGTTTTTTCGCCTCTGCATTTCTAAAGGGCTTCTTCTTTTTTGTTCACTAAGAGGTTTTAAGCTGAAACCTGTACATTTTCTTGTACTACCGACCAAATCATATAATAGGGTCCCTTCCTAACCGCAGTTTAAACTCCTAATATCTGTTTTTTAAGGTTTATTTGAATCTGGTTGAATATTGAAAAGATGGTGTTGGAGATTTGCAAAACATTTGAGAAGAAAAATGTTTCTTAGTGTAGTTATTAACTTGGCTAGTGAAAATGTGTTGTTTTTGTTTTTTCGAACGTGATACTGTTGTGTAATATTGTTGAATAAACTTAGAATTTAACCAAACTTTCTCTAGTTCTGTAGTTCTTTCTTCAAACTTCTTGAACTTGATTAAGAAAGTGATTTATTAAGTCACTTTTATAGCTTAGAATTTCAGGTTTAGTGAGCTTCACTCATCTTAAAACTTGATCAAAAGTACAACAAAATTACTTTGGTAGGATTTTTTTTTTTTTTTTTTGAATGACAACTACGAAGAAGAAAATAAATGTCTCCTTTTTATTGCAGAGGACAAGAGAGCCAAAAATATAAAAATCATAGGTTCATGTATCGGAGTGAGCATTTTGCTTCTTTTAAGTTTCATCATCTTCAGCTTTTGGCAAAGGAATTACAAGCGATCAATAACAATTCAAACACCTATTGGTAAATCAATAACTTTCATTTCCTTTATTTTTTTTGTTTGTAAATTTTGGTAAATCAATAAAGATTTTATATAAAATTACTTTTTCTTTAGGTGTTTTTTTTTCTATGTTAATGAAACAGTTGATCAAGTGAGAAGCCCAGATTCGCTAATGAACGAATTGGTCATACCAAGCAGGAAATACAAATCCAGAGAAAACAAAACAGAAGATCTAGAGCTTCCATTGATTGAGTTTGAAGCTGTTTCCATGGCAACAAACAATTTTTCAAATGTCAACAAGCTTGGACAAGGTGGTTTCGGTATTGTTTACAAGGTAAAAGTGAGTCAAAAGTAATTCAAAATTGATTACTGCCCACGGTTTCATTGTATAGTCGAATGCGTGGTATTAGGGAAGGTTACTTGACGGGAAAGAAATCGCGGTGAAGAGACTATCAAAAATGTCTTTACAAGGGACCGATGAGTTCACGAACGAGGTTAGACTAATTGCAAGGCTTCAGCACATAAACCTTGTCCGACTACTTGGTTGTTGCGTCGATAAGGGCGAGAAGATGCTGATCTATGAATACTTGGAGAATCTAAGCCTTGATTCTCATCTCTTTGGTCAGTGACTCAAAACAGCTATGTTCTAACTATTGAACATATTTAGGTATAAGTTAACACGTTTGCGGTTGTGATTTGTAGACAAAACTCGACGCTCTAACTTAAATTGGCAAATGAGATTTGAGATTGCCAATGGTATTGCTAGAGGACTTCTATATCTTCACCAAGATTCCCGTTTTAGGATTATCCATAGGGATCTGAAAGTAAGTAACATCCTGCTGGATAAAAATATGACTCCAAAGATCTCGGATTTTGGGATGGCCAGGATATTTGGACGGGATGAAACAGAAGCTAATACGAGGAGGGTGGTGGGAACTTAGTAAGCACTTAATCTCCAAAACAACAGAGAACTTTTGTCTTTAATCTAAAGTAAAAGGAAAACCGCATAATGTATGAGTTTGATCTTTGTTATGCAGCGGCTACATGTCTCCAGAATATGCAATGAATGGGACATTCTCGGTGAAGTCGGATGTTTTCAGCTTTGGGGTCTTGCTTCTTGAGATTATAAGTGGCAAGAGGAGTACAGGATTCTTCAACTCAACTGGTGACTTTAGTCTTCTCGGTTGTGTAAGCTAAGAACCTCTTGTATTTAATGTTGTTCTGCACTCCTAATCTGATGATAACAGAAAAAGAATAAATTACATCTTTATCCACAGGTGTGGAGGAATTGGAAGGAAGGAAAAGGGCTAGATATCGTAGATCCAATCATCATAGAATCTTCATCATCAACGGTCCGAACACATGAAGTATTAAGATGTATACAAATTGGTCTATTGTGTGTTCAAGAACGTCCTGAGGATAGACCAGTGATGTCGTCAGTAATGGTGATGCTTGGAAGCGAAACTACACCTATTCCTCAGCCTAAACGGCCCGGATTTTGCATCGGCAGAAGTCCTCTCGAGACTGAGGCAAGTAAACAACACGGCGATGAATGGACAGTTAACCAAATCACTCTCTCGGTCATTGACGCTCGGTAATTGGAAGCTCATTTTTTATATGCATGTTATTTTCAATATAAGTTTTAATGGCCACATGATTTGATCACTTTCTCTATGTAATTTAACCAGGTAATGTAATTTATTTAGAAAAAGACGCAGAAGTTTGAAACATTACATTCCCATGTTGATTTTGTTTTCTATTTTTGGTCACCTACTATGTAAAATGGGCGTACATTTTATATATTTAACTTAGTTAGTAGATTAAAAATAAAAACGTTAGCAAAAGAAAAAGTTTGATATGGTGGTATACTGGTATAGATAAAATCGTAAAAATTAAACTTCTTAATCCCCTAATCCTTCAGACAATTATTGAATTCATCCCTAGGAGTAAACCTTTTTATTCATCCTTTTATATTAGGGATTTTTGCTAAAAATAACCTAAACTTGACTTTGAATACAAAAATAGACCCCTGAAAAAACATTTGACAGAAATAACCTAAAAGAATAGTGAAAAAACCATTAAATCCTGTATGAGTAAACAAAAAACGGATGTCCTAATTACCTTTTACACCCTGATGAAGTCTACTAAATAGCGAAAGAAGTCTAATAGTAGACTTCGTTTATCGAAATGAACTCTACTAACTAATTAAATCTGGAAATTTAATTTTAAATTTAAAAAAAATACTTTGGTATCAAATTACATTCATAAATTTCATAATTGTAACCCAAATGTACATAAAATATTTTTTCATATTGATAAATGGAAATTTATGTTTTTAAATTAAGTAGAAGAAAATCTATTATTTAGGTTTTAAAAGTTGTAGACTTCTATATTGAAGTCTGCTAAACCGAATAAATTATCTTAATCAAATTTAAACCGAAATTGAACCAAAAAATCTTTATCTTAACCGAAAATTTTATCCTACTATATATATAAACAAATGAACCATAACAAAACCCTAATTTTATCTAAAAGAGACATTCTCTAAAACGGCGCTTTCTCCAGCTTCCTTCGTCTCTCTCACCATTTCTTGTTGGGTGTCATTCTCTTTGTGAAGCTGTGTAGAAGTTTGCTCATGTGGCTGCTCTTATACTGTTTATCTGTTTTCCGGTAGCTTTCTCCGGCCATGATTACGGCCAAGCCCTTTACAAGAGTCTTTTCTTTTTGGAAGCTCATAGATCTGGTGTCCTCCCTCGCAACCTTTAGCTTCTACTCTTCCTTTGTCTCTTGAATTCGTTTATACCAAATCCGCCATTGTTGTTGCTTCGAAGCTATTACCCTACAACAACGTACTCTCTCTGTCTCTCTGTCTCTCTCTCTCTCTCTATCTTTTTTATCGCAATTTCTTTGGATTTTTACTGATTTTTTTTGCTGATTTTTAATGTGGAATCGTGAAATTGCGATGGAGAAAAGCTCGCCGGTGAGGAAACCACACACTTCGACGGCGGATCTACGCACCGGTTCTGGTTTCTAGTGAGGAGATAAGTGCTTCCTGATTACATCCACATAATTTTTTGTTCTTGATTCTTTGTAGCATCTTTGTAAAATCCATTGTTGATTTTTTTTTTCTATTTTGTTGGTTTGAGCTTGTTTTACCCTTTTATTGTCAACTTTTTAATGATTGGTTCGTAAAATTGGGGTTTTTGAAATCGAGAAGTGGTTCTCTGGTTCGGTTTTGGTGTGATGGCTGGATAATAAGTGTCTCTTTGCGTTTCGTTGATTGTGTGTTACAGCTTTTGGAGCTCATATTGTTTGTGGTGTCTGTATCAGCTTTTGAATTTTCAATTTTTTCATTGATTGTCTGTAACAGCTTATGAAGCTTGTGAAACAATGTACACCCTAAGATTTTATGTTGTTGATCCAAATATTCTCCAACAGATTTCATTTGTGATGATGTTATATCAACTATTTGTTGTGTTAGTCCAATCCCGAAGAGATCTGTTTGTTTTGTTAGTTCTCTTGAACGTTTTGATGCTAAAAATTGTAGATTTGTGGTTCTTGTCACAGGTGACGCGCTGAATACTTTGAGGGTCACTCTAGTTGATTCAAACAATGTTTTGCAGAGCTGGGATCCTACGCTTGTGAATCCTTGCACATGGTTCCACATCACTTGCAACAACGAGAACAGCCTCCCTTATTCCCTTTCTTCCTCTTATTCCCTTTCTCCCTCTTATTCCCTTTCTCCCTTAGTTTTTTGGATTTGGTGCTGATGCCTACGCCACAGCCTCTGCTGGATTGTTAATTGTAATTTTGTATGTGTATTTATTAAATGTGATGCTATTTTATGCAGAATGCCTTATTAATATAGTCAAGTTATTCTATATAGACACAAACGTCATATAGTTGAGAGTGATAATGCAAAAAAAAGTTTCACAAACTAAGTCATTAGGCAGAATCTTTATAATGCAAAAAAAACTATTTTATACAGAATGTATTATTTCAATGTCACAATTTTTTCTTTTCTATTTTATACAGAATGTATTATTTCAATGTCACAATTTTTTTTTTTAAATCACAAAGTATGTCAAATCCAAAGAAAGAAAAAAAACAGAAGAATGAGGTTGGTGTTACTAGCAAGACAACTTATAAATGTCTAACTCTACAATTTTTTAGAATTTATGAAGATTTATTTTTATGGAGTTTATCATTTTTATGGAAATTTTTGTAAGTCTAATAACACAAGAAAAATTGAAGCATAAGTATAACACAAACATATTTAATTGGTAGTTTTGTAAGAAAACATAAAAAATGACATTAGCAAACATAATTACAAAAAAAATTATAGCCAATACATAAGTATCATTTATTTTTTTTACACCGAAGACTTCATTCGAAGACTTCGTAGATTGTAAATGAAGTCTACTTTCACAAGCTAATTAGTTTATAAATAAAAAAATTTCGATTCCACAATAAATATCAATTTAAATCAAATGAAAGCCATTGAGTAATTCAATCAATTGCTAACACGCATGTCAAATCCTAAAAATTATAAAAAAACGTTATAAATATTTAAGATATGCGTTTTTAAAATAAATACAAAAAGTAGACTTCCTAAAGGGGTAATGAGAAGACCATTAAATCCTGTATGAGTAAAAAAAAAACGGATGTCCTAATTACCTTTTACACCCTGATGAAGTCTACTAAAGAGCGAAAGAAGTCTAATAGTAGACTTCGTTTATCGAAATAAAGTCTACTAAGTAATTAAATCTGGAAATTTAATTTTAAAATTTAGAAAAAATTATTTTGGTATCAAAATTACATTCATAAATTCCGTAATTGTAACCCAAATGTACATAAATTATTTTTTTCATATTGATAAATGGAAATTTATGTTTTTAAATTAAATAGAAGAAAATCTGTTATTTAGGTTTTAAAAGTTGCAGACTTCTATATTGAAGTCTGCTAAACCGAATAAATTATCTTAATCAAAATTTAAACCGAAATTGAACCAAAAAATCTTTATCTTAACCGAAAATTTTATCCTACTATATAAACAAATGAACCATAACAAAACCCTAATTTTATCTAAACGAGACATTCTCTAAAACGGCGCTTTCTCCAGCTTCCTTCGTCTCTCTCACCATTTCTTGTTGTGTGTCATTCTCTTTGTGAAGCTGTGTAGAAGTTTGCTCCTGTGGCTGCTCTTATACTGTTTATCTGTTTTCCGGTAGCTTTCTCCGGCCATGATTACGGCCAAGCCCTTTCCAAGAGTCTTTTCTTTTTGGAAGCTCATAGATCTGGTGTCCTCCCTCGCAACCTTTAGCTTCTACTCTTCCTTTGTCTCTTGAATTCGTTTATACCAAATTCGCCATTGTTGTTGCTTCGAAGCTATTACCCTACAACAGCGTACTCTCTCTCTCTCTCTCTCTCTCTCTCTCTCTCTCTCTCTTTTTTATCGCAATTTCTTTGGATTTTTACTGATTTTTTGTTGATTTTTAATGTGGAATCGTGAAATTGCGATGGAGAAAAGCTCGCCGGTGAGGAAACCACACACTTCGACGGCGGATCTACGCACCGGTTCTGGTTTCTAGTGAGGAGATAAGTGCTTCCTGATTACATCCACATAATTTTTTGTTCTTGATTCTTTGTAGCATCTTTGTAAAATCCATTGTTGATTTTTTTTTTCTATTTTGTTGGTTTGAGCTTGTTTTACCCTTTTATTGTCAACTTTTTAATGATTGGTTCGTAAAATTGGGGTTTTTGAAATCGAGAAGTGGTTCTCTGGTTCGGTTTTGGTGTGATGGCTGGATAATAAGTGTCTCTTTGCGTTTCGTTGATTGTGTGTTACAGCTTTTGGAGCTCATATTGTTTGTGGTGTCTGTATCAGCTTTTGAATTTTCAATTTTTTCGTTGATTGTCTGTAACAGCTTATGAAGCTTGTGAAACAATGTACACCCGAAGAATTTATGTTGTTGATCCAAATATTCTCCAACAGATTTCATTTGTGATGATGTTATATCAATTATTTGTTGTGTTAGTCCAATCCCGAAGAGATCTGTTTGTTTTGTTAGTTCTCTTGAACGTCTTGATGCTAAAAATTGTAGATTTGTGGTTCTTGTCACAGGTGACGCGCTGAATACTTTGAGGGTCACTCTAGTTGATTCAAACAATGTCTTGCAGAGCTGGGATCCTACGCTTGTGAATCCTTGCTCATGGTTCCACGTCACTTGCAACAACGAGAACAGCCTCCCTTATTCCCTTTCTCCCATAGTTTTTTGGATTTGGTGCTGATGCCTACGCCACAGCCTCTGCTGGATTGTTAATTGTAATTTTGTATGTGTATTTATTAAATGTGATGCTATTTTATGCAGAATGCCTTATTAATATAGTCAAGTTATTCTATATAGACACAAATGTCATATAGTTGAGAGTGATAATGCAAAAAAAAGTTTCACAAACTAAGTCATTAGGCAGAATCTTTATAATGCAAAGAAAACTATTTTATACAGAATGTATTATTTCAATGTCACAAATTTTTTTTTTTTCTATTTTATACAGAATGTATTATTTCAATGTCACAATTTTTTTTTTTAAATCACAAAGTATGTCAAATCCAAAGAAAGAAAAAAAACAGAAGAATGAGGTTGGTGTTACTAGCAAGGCAACTTATAAATGTCTAACTCTACAATTTTTTAGAATTTATGAAGATTTATTTTTATGGAGTTTATCATTTTTATGGAAATTTTTGTAAGTCTAATAACACAAGAAAAATTGAAGCATAA